CTCCTTCCATAACTGCAGGAACGAGGCGCGGCAGGCTGCTTGGAACAGATTGAAAGCAAGGCCAGGAATCTGCTTCCGTCAAGCTGGCACCCGTGAGAACCATGCCGAGCCGAGCGAGCCCTCCTGGCACAGGGGCTTGGCAGGCGTGGCCATCGACTCGAAGGAAATGCGTTCCTCCGTTCTTTGCTCACCACAAACAACTGTCCGTAAAGGACTGAAGAAGTGTGAGGACAAAGGACCAAAACTCCAATGGAGACCAGAACAGGCCACGGACAGGAAAGTCACAGGAAAGATGAAAACCAACCCCACGCGTACGCGGACACCTGCTGCTCACTTAGTGACGCCTGCCTGCAGTTCCTGTGTGTCCACCTGCGCAGGAGCGTATGCGGGAACATGCTGCGAGGGAGGCCAGAGTAGAGCTGGCTGTGATGGGTCGGGTGTGGCACAGCTTGGCCGGGCCAGGGTTCCCAGCAGCTTGGGAATCGTAGAATGGCGTAATTGGGCAGTTTGGTGACGATGCTTTCATCTTCCATTTGGTAATTTGATGTGATCATCCTCCATTTCTGTACAATGCCAGCTTTTGCCTAATGACCTCGTCTTTGGTACCTAACCATGTCAGCAAGCGAGGAGCTGGTGAATAGTCAAATAAAATGCAAATGAAAGCAACCCTGGGATACAGCTCTTCCTATGCCAGACTTGCAAAATAAATAATATATTTGAGGTAGCACATTTTGTTTGCAAGACAGGAAACATTCTTATGCGTTGCTGGTAGGCATGCAAATTGGTAGGGCCCTTCTGGAAGGAAATCCTATACCCCAAAAATCCCTGGGCATTTACCCTGCAACCTAGCAACCCACTTCTAAGACCTAAGGTACGTCTACAACACTGATCCCTGGGCATTTACCCTGCAACCTAGCAACCTGCTTCTAAGACCTAAGGTACGTCTACAACACTGATATTTATTGCAGCATTGTTTGTGATTGCAAAATGCTGGGAACCTTTTTTTGTGTGACATGTTCTAGTTTGTGATTTCTGGCTACAGGAGTGAGACAGGTTTCTCGTGGAGCTGATATGTTCTCGCAGTGGGAAAACATGGATGTTGTGCTGCCGCTGTGTGCCAATAAAGATGGCTCAGCCTCATTCCACAGACCCTGCGCCGGCTTTGTGGAAATGCATGGAAGGGGCAGTGTCCTCCGACCTCTAACTTCACAAGGCGGGAGCAGGAGCGTCCTCGGCATCAGTGCCCATGGCGGACTCCTGGCAGGTGTAGCTCAGACCTTTGTACCAACGCTGACCCTAACCGTGCCTCCCGCAGCTCTCACCTGCTGGGTTTGAGCATTCCTGCGATGACCACACAGAAACCACAGTAACAGACTGCAGTTCAGGCGCAGGCATGCTTAGGATGCAGTTCTTTACTCAGACAGCCTCCTCCTCCTCTTTTTGATCATTTCATTGGGGGCTCTTACAACTCATCCCAATCCATACATCCATTCATTGTGTCAAGCACTTTTGTGCATTTGTTTCCCTCATCATTCTCAAAACATTTTCTTTCCACTTGAGCCCTTGGTATCAGCACCTCAGTTCTCCGCTCCTCCCTCCCTTGATAATTTATAAATTGTTATTTTTTCATATCTTACACTGACCGATGTCTCCCTTCACCCACTTTTCTGTTGTCTGTTCCCCTGGGAGGGTGTCATATGTAGAGCACTGTGATCGTTTCCCCCTTTCCCCCCACCTTCCCCTTCCCCTGCTGGTATCCCTACTCTCAATATTGGTCCTGACGGATTTATCTGCCCTGGATTCCCTGTGTTTCCAGCTCTTAATGTACCCGTGTACATGCTCTGGTCTAGCCGGATTTGTAAGATAGAATTGGGGTCACGACAGTGGGGGGTAGGAAGCATTAAAGAACTCGAGGAAAGTTGTATGTTTCATCAGTGCTGTACTGCACCCTGACTGGCTCGTCTCTTCCTTGTGACCCTTCTGTAAGGGGATGTCCAATTGTCTATTGATGGGCTTTGGATCTCCATTCCACACTGCCCCTCATTCACAATAATAGGATTTTTGGTTCTGGGTCTTTGGACAGCCTCTTCTTGGCCCTGCCCACAGGCAGGCTCTCTACAGTCCTTGGCCAGCCTCTCCCTTGCTTGGATACGTGTAACAGAGCTCTTGTAACTTTATGTAGAAAGCTGTCTGGGGGCACCTCTGCCAGTAAGCATGAAGGTGCTCAGCCTTGCTCTGCTTCAAGGGCAGGCAAGCCCGGCTCCAACCAGTGCCTGGAGGCACTTTCGTCTGTTAGCAAAGCCTCCTGCCTGGCGGAGATCAGCTTTCTAGCACTGGGCCAGCAAGCCTGCTGCACACACTCCTCGCTCTGCTACTCACTGTCCCTGGTGTCTCAGCTTCTCTCTCTCTCTCTCTCCCTGGGTCCAAAGAACACACTCCACTCCAGGGTCTTCTTGGCAATCATAAGATCTCCCTTTTCCATCTCTGGGATGGCTCATTTGAAGCCCAGTGGGATGGCAAAACTAAATCTTCTAGTCGGGGTTCCATGCGGTTCCATTTGCATAGCTGCACCTCCCCAAGGGCGGGGTGGGGTACCATGCACCTGATCCCTAAAGTCCCATCCAATCTTTTGGAGGAAGTTGTAAGACTGTGACTTGAAAGCCATCCATGGTACCACATGCGTCACCATTCCACTGTTTTACCAAGTTGGCAGCCACTAGGTTAAGCCCTCTCCTTGAGGGTCTTCCTGTCTCGCTGACCCTCGACCAAGAATACGTTAGTCCCTTAGCTGGAGATTGATCCTTTCTGATAACAGATCCAATGTTGGAAAGAGGCAGCCTTGTCCTTCTCGCTTTTTTTTTTTACACATATCCAGAAATACTTTTATTTTGGCTTTGATTAATTCTTTTTCTTATTTATTAAAAGATCATTTTATTAGGGGCTATTACAACTTATAACAATCCATACATCAATTGTATCAAGCATATTTATACCTATGTTGCCGTCATTCTTTACTAGATATCTACTTTCTATTGAGCCTTTGGTATCAGATCCTCTGTTTTCTCCCCCCTCCCCTTCCTTCTCGCTTCTATGAAGCATTCTGACTGCACCTCTTCTAAGACAGACTTGCTTTTCTTCCAGGACTCCATGGCGTATTGAAAAAACTTGGCCAACATCATTCAAACGCATCCATTTTT